GCGTTCTGCGTGATTAAACCCTGCCCCTCGCTCATCCGCGGGCGAGCGACGCAGGCGGCGGGTGAGCCGTGTGCCCCGCATACGGCGCCTTCCTCCCCGCTCCCACCGGGATGCGGCGCGGAACAACGTCGCTCCAGGCCCCGTTCCCCTCGCTGATGCCGCTGATTCAAACTGCCCCTGCTCTCTGGAGAAACCCGTTTCCAGCCTTCCCAAGGATACACGCTCTCAAAGCCCAGCTCCTGTACTCTTTTTTTTTTTTAAATTATTAGTTTCATCCAACTTACGCTCTTCTACTTGAATACTGAACGTCATATTACCAGTTTGGATTCAATATGAATATTTCAATGAATTCAAAGCTTATCTTCTCTCATCCCGTTGGATTTAGCAGGGCAAGCAGCAGAACCAAACAGCCGAACGCAGACCTCATCAGAGAGCCATTAGCTTAGAAAGGAGGAACAGAGAAGCTCACTTGATTCTAATCTTTCCCTTTTGATAGAGGAAATAGTATGAATCTAACCCAAGTAATACACAAATCTGTATATGCAAACTATAATTTGCATAAATTTACAATTCTAATACACAACACAAAGCTGATTCTCGACATAATGGAAAGAACCAAGAGGGCCAACACGCAGGAGGAGCAGCAGCAGCGACAAGCAAATTCTCCAAACAGAAAGTCAAAATTTCTGTGTACACCTCCAGTAGACTGCATAGGGGTAAACCAAACACCGACCCTCCCCACAGAGGAGCAGGTGGGTAGCCTAACTTGCATTGTTTTTCATCTCCAAAGCTCCTGAGAATGAGGTTAACATGACAACTGGGCCCCCAACCAGACCAGAGGACCAGACCCATGGTTTCTAATTGCAAACCCAGTTAATCCATGCTTAAGAACACAAAAAAAACAAGGGAGAGCAACTAAACAGACCTACTGCGTGCGCTGAGGCAGGAGCACAGGCACAGTCTCTGGACCACACCTTGGAGTAAACGAAACCAAAAGGCACCATGTTCAAAGGCATTGACTAACCCTCAGCAAGTCTGCAGAACCCTCAGCAAGTTTGCAGATGACACCAAGCTGAGTGGTGC